GGTGGGCAGGGAGAACAATATGACAATGAATGAATGGAAATCCAAAATCTCTGTAAATGTTCATTAAAATAAGTACTTTTTTAAAAAAAAGGCATTTATTTAAAACACATCCTACATTAATCCTGTCTCATTAATCATGTTTTGTATTCCCATACATATGACACGTATATAGGGGTTACAATTACAACATAATTCAATCCATAACAGACAGACATATTATGTCTTTGTGAACCCTAATCCAAACTATGAACTTTAGTCAATAATAATGTGTCAGTATCAATCCATCCATTGTTACCATATATACTATATTAATGTAGGACGATAAGGAGTCCTGAAGGAGCAAATGGTAAAGCATGTGGTTATTAACCCAAAGATTAGTGGTTCAAATACCCATCTAACGGCTAGAGTGGGTGGGACAAGGTAATCTTCTTCTGTAAAGATCATAGCCAATAAATCCTATTGTTGTTATGTACTACTGAGTTGACTACCACTCATAAAAACTCTATGAACAACAGATCAGAACCTTGGCCTATCCAGCACCACCTTCATGATCTGTGACATGCTTGAACCCAATCCATCTCTTTCTCTGACATTCCACTTTTTCCAACATGCTGTCTTTTTCCAAGGAACAGCCCTTCCTTACATGCTCAAAGTATGTGAAATGAAGTTCCACCATCCTTGCCTCTTAACACTAACATTCTAATCTGTAGTTGCACTTCCTTCCAAAGTTGTTAGTTCTGTCCTCCAAAACCAAAATTCAAAGGCATCAATTCTTCCATCATCCTTATACATAGTCCAACTTTCAGATGCATTGTTGTTGCTGATGTTGTTGTTATGTACCAACGAGTCACTTGCAACTCATAGTGACCCTGCATACAACAGCTCTGAACCCTGCTCTATCCAGAGCCAACCTTATCGTCTCCGACACACCCACCCCACTACCCCAGTCACTGAGTCTATCCATCTCATTAGGAGTCTTCCTCTCTTGCACTGTCCCTCATCCCTTCCAAGCATGACGTTCCTCTCCAAGGACTGGTTCCTCCTTGCAACATTCCCAAAGAATGTCAGATGGAGCTTCAGAATCCTTATCTCCAAGGAGCAACCTGGTCTCACCCTCTACAGGATGAATGAATCTGTTTGTTCTCCTAGCAGTCCATAGTAAATTCAATACTCTTCTCCAACACCTCAGCTCAAAGGCATCAATTCTCTTTCTATCATTCCTAGTCATTGTCCAGCTTTCTGATGCATAGCAAGTAATTGTGAAGACCTTGGCCTGGATCAGGCACACCTTAGTCTCCAGACTGACATTGTTGCTCCTCAGTACTCTGGAGATGTCCCTAACAGCAGACTTTCCCAATGCAATTTGTCTTTTGATTTCTTGGTTGCTGGTACCAAGGGTGTTGACTGTGGAGCCAAGCAAACTAAAGTTGTTAACAATCCCAGGTCTCTTCACCATCTATCATGATGCTACCAATCAGTCCAGTGGTGAGAATCTGTTTTCTTGATGTTGAGCTTCAGTCCATATTGAAGGCTGCAGTTCTTGACCTTCTGCAGCAAGCACTTCAGGTCCTCCTCAGTGTCAGCAAACAAGATTGTGTCATCTGCATAACACAGATTGTTAATGGGTCTTCCTCCAATCCTGATGTCACATTCCTCCTCACACAGTCTCCTCATAGAGCAGAACAGGATGATCTGTTCTGCATATAGATTGAAAAGTTATGGAGATAGGACATATCCTTGGCATACACCTTTCCCAATTTTGAACTATGCAGTGTTTCCTTGCTCTGTTCTGACAACTGACTCCTTGTCCAAGTATAGGTTCCGCATGAACACAATCAAGTATTCTGGGATTCCCATTCTTCTCAGAGCCACAGTTTGTTGGGATTCACACAGTCAATTGACTTTGCATAGTTAATAAAATATAAATAGACATTCCTCCGGTACTCTCTGCTTTCAGCCAAGATTCATCCTACATTGACTATAATATCTCCAGTACCATGGCCTCTTCTTAACCCGGCTTGCACATCTGGCAGTTCTCTGTTGATATGCTAGTCCAGGAGTTTTGTTATCAGACGCATAGAAGCGATTTAAAATACCATGACTTAAATCAGGAGCACCTTAGTTTTTTTGTTTGTTTGTTAATAATAATAATAACAGATTGTTAATGAGTCTTATTATTATTATTAATTTCAATGAACATTTACAGAGATTGTGGATTTCCATTTATTCATTGCTGCACTTTTCTCCCCGCTCACCCCACCCCCACCTTCACTTCTCTCCTCTTTAAAAGCAAAAGAAAAACTCCTTCACTGGTATACAATCCCCCCGCACCCTCCCACCCTCACCCCAAGTATACTCCACTCTGCAACCCTCATTCCAAACTCTTATGATAATCATAATGTCCTAAAATATGTTATTTTTAAACTGTACTCTCCCTCATCGGCTTCAATGCAGTATACATAATTTATCCATTTTTTTCTCAGACTTACCCCAACCCTGATGTCAGACTCATTCTACAATAGTGGCACCAAGCAGTATTTGTCCTTTTGTGACTGAGATATTTCACTCAGTATAATGTCCTCCAGGGTCACCCATTTTGAATAATATTGCATGAGTTCCTTGTTTTTCAATGCAGCGTAGTATTCCATTGTGTGAATATACCACAGCTTCTCTATCCATTCGTTTGTTGATGGGCACTTAGGTTGTTTCCAACTCCTTGCTATTGTGAACAAAGCCGTGATAAACATGGGTGTGCATATATCTGCTTGGATGTCAGTTATGGTCTCTTTGGGATATATTCCCAGTAGTGGAATTGCTGGGTCAAATGGTATCTCTATTTGCAACTTTTTGAGAAAGCGCCATACCACCTTCCATAGTGGTTGCACCATTTTACATTCCCACCAACAGTGAATAAGGGTTCCAGTTTCTCCACAACCTCTCCAGTATTTGTTGCTTGCTGTTCTGTTAAATTTTGCTAGTCTTACTGGGGTGAGATGATATCTCAAAGTTATCTTGATTTTCATCTCTCTTAGAGCTAGGGGTCTTGAACATTTCTTCATGTGCTTGTTGGCCATCTAAACGTCTTCTTCGGTGAAGTGTCTGTTCATATCCTGTGCCCATTTTTTCTATTGGATTATTTATCTCATTGTAGTAGCACCTTAGTTTTTAAACTGACATCCTTGCTCTCTAGCATTTTGGAGTGGTCCTTGACAGCAGAATCTCAGTGCAACATGTCTTTTCATTTCTTGACTACTGCTACCATAGGTGTTGATTGTGGATCCGAGTAAAATTAAATTATTGAAAACCCATTGTTGTTGTTGTTAGGTTACCATAGAATTGAATACCACTCATAGTGACCCTGTGAACAACATATATGAACCTTGTCCTTTGCTGCGCTGTCCTCATTGTCTCTCCTTTGCTGGAGCTCAGTCATGGTATCAATTCATCTTGTTGACAGTCTATTGGGAAGTTTTATTCCGTCAAATGAAGCTGCTTTAAGTTATAATTGACTTGATAGCACTCAACACCCCCACCAATGTAAAAGGAGAAAACATGGGTGAAGGATAATAAGAAAACTATTCTCTGTACTTTTTTTTCCCCAAACCCTATTCTACAAAATAAAGTACTTTAAAAGAAAAAGAAAGGAGGGAAGCAACTTGGTCTTTGGCATTACTTGGCTGGTCTTAATTTACAACTTTATATGAAGAACTGTGTTACTTTGCTTAAGAATATTGGCTTAATAAGTCTCATTACTCACTAAAGAGTGAAGAACTTCAATAAGCAAACATGTTGAAGAGACTGGGGAACACAGAACTTTCCATGTATCCTGAGCACACTGGGTAGTTCACATATGAACAGCAGAGGGTGCTATGCAGCTATGGCCTCATCCTAAGGATGATGTTCTCTCTTCCTCCCTGGCATTCCAAAATGGTATTCTCCAATTAAAATCCATACCTCGGTAGCCTGCCTGGTGTTAACCCCCTACAGTCTTGTGCCACTGTGTATCTGACTTGAGCCTTTTTGTAAGGACATTTCTGAATGGGGATCTGATCTTCCATCCCTCTCTCACCCTAGGAGTCTACCTACCATCTGAGATCTAGTCAGTCTTCCATTCTGCATTCTAATTTAAAGTCTGAAATCCCACCTTTCCCCCCACTTTGGCTAGTCTTGCATTAGTTTGCCACCCTGTCTTGTTTTGAACCAGACACATAGTGTCCCTGAGCTGTAATTGTGTTCAAAACCCCATGATTCTAAATGTTCTTTGCTGAGACACTCCCTGATGCCGTTTGTTTGCTCTTATGGTCTTTGAGGACTCACTCATTGTTGATTTGCTACCCGTGAACACTAGCCTTTGCCGGATACTAACACAGTTTACCACGCAGAAGAATCATGAAACCTCCTCAAAATAAAAACAAAGTTGGTCATCCCTCCCGACATCCTCTTCATATTTATCAGTAAGCTCTCTTTCTTCTGACTGCAATTTTGTGGTTTGCTCTCCCCTTTGTGGGTGTCTAATACTTGTTTTTGTTTCCTTTCACCTGTAGAGAAAATATATCAAAGAGATGAGCTAGGAGATCAATTGCCAGTTCACTCTCAGAAATGATCCTGGATCTTAATTAATTAGAGAGAGACAGACCTATTGTTCTGTGACTTCAATCAATTAACGTGTCCTTCTTAACAATGAGGTTATTGTAAGTGTCCTAACTCACTGGAAAAGATGAAAGAAGGTGTGCAAGTGTCACAGACAGTAAGAATACTGGTCTCTGACGGAAGGCAGAAAAGCATGTCTAAAGTGTTGTACAAGTGAATTGGTAAGACATTTTCATTTATATGCTGAGGAATAAAAAAGATTCCATTCCCTGAAAGATGGGTACTCTTGCCCCTTTCCAAATTACCCTAATATCACCTATCTGGCAATAGTTTGCTCATAGTGAACACGGAATAGCTTGTTGGAAATTACAAATTAAGTACTGAGTTGAGTTTTTAATACTCACTTCTCCTCAACGTTTCATTAGTTTAGATCCATTGGTTGGACTTAGTGATGGATTCTAAATGGGAAAAAGAAATAAGGTGGTGTCAGCAAGCACTGAAATAGACAAAAATGCACATATGGGGTTTTTTCCCCCCCAAATTTTGTGTGTGTGTGTGTGTGTGTGTGTGTGTGTGTGTGTACCATCAAATTGGATCTGACTGGTACAGGAGGAGATTGCCCCTCCTTCTCCGGCAGAGCATCTGGTGAATTCAAACTGTATACTTCTGGGATTGCAGTGCAGCTTCTTGCCACTAGGCCACCACATATGTTTATTTGTATTCTTACCAGAGATAAACTAAGAATCCTAAGGGCCTATTGGGTAAGAAGTTGTTCTGCCGACTCAAAGGAAGGCGATTCAAGCCCACCAGCTGCTCCACAGGAGATAGATGGCAATCTTCTCCCATGTGATCTATAGCTTCTGAAAACCCTGCTGAGGGTCAGCTAGGAGCCAGTTCCAACTCGATGACATATAGCAACAATATCAACAACAGAGATAAAAACGGAAAAATGAACACATGTAAGAAGTTCCCAAACCAACAAAGCCACCCAGAATTTTCACATATCACATGTAACATCCAAGTCACTGCATTATTTTTTTCTCTTCTACTCAGAAATAAAACACTGCCAATTAAACCATGACTCACCACTGATTGTAAAATAATGTTCCTGTTTCAGAGATGTTAAGAGGTGGAGAAAACATTTGTCTTAGAATGGATGACCTATCGTAAAAGTCACCCTCACCAGTAGCTAACTGTAAAAGCTAGTACTCAAAGTGTCCCAGAGATTTTTCTTCTTGTCTTTATGGAAGTAGCACTTACTGGAATCTTCTGGTTGAATGAAAATTTGTTTCTAATTAATGTAAAAATGTTGGCAATTAAAAAGCAGATTAATGCCTGAAAAAAGCAGATAATTAAGCCAAAGATGTATATCTGTATTATATTCCAATGCAAGGAAATGTGAAAAGAATTCTAAACAAAGAAAATGGAGGGAGGTTTTTGTTTCCACTTTGTCTTAATGTAGGTTTTATCTTGCTGAGCTGGGTGACAATAGATAAATCTGGGCACTGGTTTCCTCGTCTGAGAGCATTTGTACTTGAAGGTTGTTTCTAGCTCTTCTCACATTCCTCAGATCTCACACTGTAGGACTCTATGATCCTGGTTTCATGCTGTCCCATTTCAAAGCAGCAAATGTCAAGCTGAAATATGTCCAGTGTGGTCCGTTCACTTATTCACTTACAGGGAGCATTCTGGTGACCTTCCGTTTTAGCAGGACGTTCACATATGTTGAATGAAGAAATGGATGAATGATCGTTTGCCTTTGCTAACACTGCTTGAGCAATAAGAACATGGACCTTCTACTGGTGAGACTAAAAGGAAAGGCTTACCTCTGCTGCCCTTGATTTCCCCTTCAGCGAAGTCATGCGCATTCTCAAAGCATCTCTTATCTAAAGAAACAAAAACCATTAGGAAATGCCTCATAGCTGTCTGAGTGAACAGTAAAATTCCCAAGGCACAATCCCAGTGTCCTGCAATACTCAGAGCAACAGCCACAGCCCAGGCAGCATCAGATGACTTACAAATCACTTAGCACCCTGGCAAATAATACACTTGTGATATGTTGTTGTTGTTGTTATGTGCCATTGAGTCACCTGCGACTCATAGAGACCCTATGTACAACAGCCCTACACCCTGCTCTATCCTGTGCCAATCTTATTGTCTCTGACACAACTACCCCATTACTCCAGTCACTGAAATTGTGACATGTAATCATCACTGAATGTGAAGTTAAGGTTAAAATTGTGATTATGGTTTCTATTCTTTCCACCAGCTACACTCACATTGCCTCCTGCTGACTTGTTAAAGAGTAAGAAATGAGAGACTATCACTTTCTGTTTTCTTCTTCGCCACAGTCCTAACCCAAACTTCCAAATACCTCCTTCTTCACCCCCTCACCACCTTCACCTCTCTTCTTCACTTGCCCACATGAAATAAATTCAAATTACCTTGTGATCCATAATGGTTCCAAACAGCAAGATGAAGAAACCCTGTGGCAAAATTCAACAGAAGCATGAGGGGCAGTATTGGAGTTAACGTTCCCAGAGTTATTTTCGTATCAAAGTCCCATTGCCCTGGAGTCCAAACCAACTCATAGCTGACTCTCCAGTGAATTTCTTGGGCTGTAAATCACATAAGAGGAGACCATTTCTCTTCCTCCTTTGGAGCTGTTGGTGGGTTAGAATCATCAAAGAAGCACCAAGTTGGGATTAGTACAGCAACTCACCACAAACTACAACACTAGAGATTGCCGCCAAGTTCCTGGGAGGTGGAAATTGTTAACACACTTAGACTGTTAACACAAAGGCTGCAGGTGTCAAAGGGATGATTTCCAAAGAAGTTCAGGTGTCTTATTGAGTAAGAACTAGAAAGTTCTGACTTGGGTGTGAGACGTTGATAGAACACTGTCACAAGGAAGATACCAAGCGAGAGCAAGCAAAAGAAACAGGTGTATCAGACGTTCATAGTAGACTCATATGAGCTGCTCAGGGAAAGTCTGACCCTATCTTATCCTATATACATCTTCCCCAGTGGGAGTCAGGTTTACACAGCTTTATGATAGTGCACAGCTTCTGATGGATTTATGGTGACCCTTGGGGTCTGTCCTTCTACTACTCCTTTTTATTTTTTTTAGATGAGTCTGTTTTCCTTGTGCTATTTTGCTGCCATGTCACGTCATTATCCAGAACAGTTTCTGATTTATTTATTTTTTTAGTGTTTCCCTTGCCATTCCCTAGAACAAGCTTAATCCTTTCAATAGAACCTCAGAAGAAAAACCCGATAATCTACTTCCAAAACATAACAATCTTTGAATACTGTGTGGGGCACAGTTCTACTCAGAGCCACATGGGAGCACCTTGACTTAGAGTAGTCTTACTAACAAAACTCTATTTTTCCCTGGACATATACAAATGCATTGACTGAGGGGAAACATGCATTAATGGTATTTCTTTTTTTCAGTCTATCTCCACCCTTGGAAAAGAACCAATCTCGTGGGATTGTGCATGAACTGGAATATTTGTATTTATTGAATGTCTACAAATATAAAATAGAATTTTCAATCATACTAAATCTTTCTACTTTTTCTAAATTATTTATATGGTGAAAGTTATAAAATTGTTCAGGTCTTTTGTTCATAGGGTCGCTATAAGATGTCTACGACTCGATGGCACTTAACAACAACAACATTAGGTAGCTGGGCAATGACTAGGAAAATTGATACCTTTGAGCTGTGGTGCTGGACAAGAGTATTAAATATATCATAGACTGCTAGGAGAACAAAAAGGTTCATCCTGGAGAGGGTGAGACCAGGCTGCTCCTCATAGGCAAGGATTCTGAGGCTTCCTCTGATATACTTTGGTCATGTTGTAAGGAGAGACCAGTCAGTCCTTGGAGAGGGACATCATGCTTAGAAGGGCAGAGGGACAGCACAGGAGAGGAAGACCTTTGATGAGATGGATTGATTCAGTAACTGGGGTAATGAGGGTAGGTGTATCAGACACAATAGGTTGGCACAGCACAGAGCAGGTTTCAGGGCCATTGTACATAATGTTGCTGTGATTTGCTAGCAACTTGATGGCACATAACAACAAACAACAATTAGATATTCAAGAGAACAGAGACAAGCAATTTGAGAATATTGTGATTTAAAAACACAAATACAAATCACATTCACAGAAGATTGCTGAGATTGAAGTTAAAGATTATAAAAGAGACACCCAGGGCCTCGGGACTGATGAAGAACGTTTCCAAATAAGCTGAAAACAAGGCTACGAAGGCTACAGAGACCTGTGAGGATAGTCCCTACAGCATCACATTGGAGCCCCTAATACAATCAGTTAATAATCTTGGCTGCTAACACAAAAATTAGATGTTTGAGATAACTTGGGAGTGCCTTGGAAAGATGGTCTGGTGATCCACTTCTGTAAAAATCAGCCATTTCAAACCCTTTAGAACACAATCCTACTTTAAGACACATAGAGTGGCCATGAGCCTGAGACAGCAACAAGGGAAAGTCACGTTCAATGATGATCAGTCTCTTAAATTCTTAGGAGTTGAAGTCCACGAAGCTGTGCTGCAATCTCAAAGGCACTAGGTTCAAGGCCACCAGCTGCTTTGTGAGAGGATGGGCAATCTCCTTGCATGCCATTAACTGCAGCTGAAAACCCTCCAAAGAGTCAGCTATGGGTAGATTCCAAATCTATGGTACACAACAACAATATTAAAGCTTCAGTTCATAAAGGATAATTTCATGGTAAGGAAAGGAGAGGGGGGAAGATGACTGAAAAATTTAATTAGGACCTTGGGGAAAGTTAGCTGAGAAAACTTGTATGTGTTGTCCAATAAGAAAGAGGATGAGACAGTGGGTCAATCAGGAGAGAAGATTTCGTTGTTGTTGTTGTTGTTATGTGCCGTCAAGTCGCTTGCGACTCATAGCGACCCTATGTACAACAGTCCTAAACTCTGCTCTGTCCTGTGCCAATCGTACTGTCTCTGACACTCCCATCCCGATTAGCCCAGTCACTGAATCAATCCACATCATAGAGGGCCTTCCCCTCCTAGGCTGTCCCTCCACCCTCCCAAGCATGATGTCTCTCCTCACAACATGTCCAAATTATGTTAGAGCCTCAGAATCCTTGCCTCCAAGGAGCCACCCAGTTTAACCCTTTCCAGGATGCATCTGTTTGTTTTCCTAGCAGTCCATGGTACTCTCAATACTCTTCTCCAGCACCACAGCTCAAAGTCATCAATTCTCCTTCTATCCTCCTTGGTCATTGTCAAACTCTCTGATGCATAGCAAGTGATTGTGAAGACCATGGCCTGTCTCAAACACACCTTAGTCTCCAGAGAGACAGCATTGCTCTTCAGTACTTTGGAGAGGTCCCTAACAGCAGACTTTCCCATGGCAATGTGCCTTTTAATTTCCTGGCTACTGGTGCCAAGAGTGTTGATTGTGGAGCCAAGCAAACTAAAGCTGTGAACAATCTCAATCTCTTCACCATCCATCCTGATGCTGCCAGTTGGTCCAGTGGTGAGAATCTTTGTCTTCCTGACATTGAGCCTCAATCCATATTGGAGGCTGCAGTCCTTGACACTCTGCAGCAGGTGCTTCAGGTCCTCCTCAGTTTCAGCAAGCAGGGTTGTGTCATCTGCATAACGCAGATTATTGTACATAGGGTTTTCAGAGGCCTGCTATTTCAGAAGTGGATGGCCAATCCTTCTTCCTAGTCTGTCTTAATCTGAATGTTCAGATTTAGAGAAGTGTCAGACAGACCAACATTTTATAGAAAAAGTGAAAGGTATATCCCTTATTGTGGAGTTAAGCATTAGTGTCAGTGTTGTCCCTGCCTTTGGCACACGTGTCTTTACCCACTTATTTCCCTGCTCCACCATCCACCAGGATACCCACCCACTTCTACCCACTCCCTTCACATCTATCTCCCATTTGTCCAGTCCTTGATCTAATAGCTTATATATGAAGCTTCCTTGGCTTCTGTGATTCCAAACACATCAACTGCTGGTAGTTCCTTATATTGGGACCAATGATTAGATTTCTATGAGGCCAAGAATATGTCATTAAAAACAAAAAAATTCACACCAAAAATAAAACTTTTTCTATAAGAGGTTTGTTGTTAAAACAATGTGTGTGAAAAAATATTCTCTAGAATGATTTTTTTAAAACACATAAGTAAATTGTTTTATTGACTATGCAAAGGTATTCAACCATATGAATCATAACCAATTATGAGTTGCGAAAAGCAGGGATTCCAGAACACTTATTTGTGCTCATGTGAAACCTGGATATAGATTAAACTTTCTTCAAAGTTCTAAAAAGCAAGGACATCAGCTTAAAGACTAAAGTGCACTTGACCCAAGTCTTGATATTTGAAATTATTTTATATGCTAATAAAACTTAGACAATAAATTAAGAAACCAAATATAAAAGACATTGTCCAAATAGAAAAAGGAGATATTATGTAGTTAAAAATCAGGAAAGGTATGCACTGGGGATGTATCCTTTATCTATACCTAGTCAATCTGTATGCTAAAAAAAATTGGATTATTTAAAGAAGAATATGGCACTAAGGTTAGAGGAAAACTCATTAACCGCACAAGATATACAGTTAACACAGCTTTGCTTATAGAAAAACGAAGACTTGGTACTTATAGATGAAGTGTAAGACTATAGCCCTTAGTATAGTTTATATATAGTTCAGTATCAAGAAAACAAAACCCCTTCCAACCAGGCCAATAAGCAATATCATAATAAAAGGAGAACAATTGAATTTATCAAGGGTTTAGTTTTACTTGGATCAACACTGATAAAAACAGCAATCAAGAAATTAAATAGCAAATTTCACTAGATAAACCTGCTGCAAAGGAGTTCTATAAAGTTCTGAAGAGCAAGAATGTCACTTTTAGAGCTAAGGTGCACCTGGCCCAAGCCATGATATTTCAATTCCTTCATTTGCTTCTGAAAGTTGGACATCAGATGAGAAATATAGAAGAAGATTTTATACATGTGATTTGTAGTATTCAACCAAGAATATTGAACAAACTGTGAATTGCCAAAAGAACAAACTTGTCTTGATTAAATATGGCCAGAATATGGTCTTGACATATATTATCTTTTAGACAAATTATCTCATCTCACATACTTCAAGTGTGTTATCAGGAGGAGATAATTGCTGGAGAAAAGACATTGTGCTTAGCAAAATGGAGCATCAGAGGAAAAGAGAAAGACACTCTTGGACTAATATATAGGCTCCAATGATGGGCTAAGCTTGGCAGCAATTGTGAAGATGGTATAAGACCAGACAGTTTCTTTCTGTTGTGTGTTTGTGTCACTATATATCAGAGCCTATGTACTTAACAGGTTCAAATTGTTTTCCTGTCAAACATTCTTCTAGGTGGTATGGCACTGGTCTGTGTGTTGCTATATAGAGGTAACTCGTGGTTGCTGTGATGCTGAAGCCTGTGACAGTGATGTGCCAATTGTGGTAATGGGTACCCATGGTTGACAGTGTTGGCTGGAGCTTCCTGACTAAATCAAGCCTGGAAACAGGAGCGGCATCCACTTCCAAAATGGCTTGCCTCTGGAAACTCTATGTACAAACAGTGCTCAGGCTGTTCGTTCACAGGGTTGCTATGAATCGTCTATGACTCGATGGTACCAAACAACAGCATGTACCTAACAACAACACAGAGTTTAACAAATTGTAAATAAGATGTATAGTTGATTTTAAACTGGCCTTTCTCTGAAGTTTCCTTCACATTTGCATATCAGTTTTGAACAGAGTAATAGTAACACAAGGTTGTTGTGTAACAAAGAACTGCCTTGCCAGCAACTACCAACAGTAACCCAACCAGTGTACTGACTTGATTCTTACTCATAGCAACCCTGCAGGATAGAGGAGAACTGCCCATTGGGTGTCTGGAAAGCTTTACAAACGCGAACTGTCACCTCTTTCACCTGCAAAGCAGTAGATCAAACCACTGACCTTTTGATTAGCAGACAAATGTCTCTACCACAGTATCATTAGAGCTCCTAACAACAATAACAGTGGCATATTAATGAGAAAATCTCACTGTTTTATTAAACTGTTGTTGTTGTTACTGTGTACCAATGAGTTGAAACTAATCCATAGCTCACCCTCTGGTGGGTTTTCAGAGGCTATTAATCACAAGGCAGGAGATTGCCCATCCTTCTCCTGTGCAGCAGGTGGTGGATTTGAACCACATGCTTTTGGGATTACAACATAGCACATTGCCACTAGACCACCAAAGCTTCCTATAGCAACAGCTTTATTAAATAGTTGAATTTATACTATTTAAAGCAGGAGTCATAAATATTTTGGGGTGTTTTTTTTTCTTCCAAAGAAGCATTTTGTAAATATTTTAGACTTCGGAGACCATATACTCTCTGTTGGGTTGCTCAACCCTGCTGCTGTTGGTCAAAATGACTATAAACAATTGATAAAAGAGTGAGAATGGCTGAGTTCCAATAAAACACTCTACACAATAGCACTGAGCTACAGTGTGCCAACCCCTGATTAAAGCGTAATTAAGAACACAGACCTGCTAAATTTTCTATTACTCATAGGAATGGAAAGCAGTCTGACTGGCGACAGTTTCTCCAAAGTGCAAAGTTAGAATCCAACAGGGAGTAAACAAGTCTGAAGGGGATAACCTTGCCAAACCAAGAATTTAAAAGCTAGCATAGATGACAGAGAGAATTTCAGAGTCATAGATTTATTTTATAGATGAGAAGATTTGAGGTCTAAAGAAAAAGAACTTTCTCAAGATGATATAACCTGTGGAAAGAAAAAATTTTTTATGAACAACTTAGAATTATTCCCTATGGAGATAGATATAAAAGCTTCTGAATAGTTAGAACTCAAAGACAATAACCAGGGTGCCTCTTTACACTCTTAAAAATAGCTACTGCTTCCAAAACTGCTTGGGAACAGACAGAAACTAAACTTGTTTGGATGTCATGCTTGGGAGGGTGGAGGGACAGCGCAGAATAGGAAGACCCTCTATGAGGTGGATTGATTCAGTGACTGGGGTAACAGGGATAGGTGTGTCAAGACAATAAGATTGGCACAGGACAAAGGGTTTAGGGCTATCATTATCATAACAACAACATAACATATAAACGTAGCCCAACACATCCTTGGCCAGAGAATGACCATCTTCTTCTGAAGGCTTGAAGAGGGATGCACTCAACCATGAGGAGGGATGGTAAGGAATTCCCATCCAGTCAATCAGATAAGCTAAATCAAAATCAGTAAGAGATACATAGCCAACTACCTCTAACATAATGGAAGTGGAGAAACCTTATAAATTCAAAACTTCAAATGATAACTATTTTGTTGTATTTACAAAATAGCGTAGCATTCTTCCCTTGAGAGCTTACCTGGAAAGCATTGAGCAGGGCAAAGATGATATGGAACACTGAGGGAATGTCTCTGATGAGAGTGATTATTCCAAAACCCCAGGTCAGTCCCAGCAAAGGAGTCAGGATGGCTACATTCTTGCTAATCCTCATAATTATAGCCACATCTTGAGACTTGGAACTGCCAATAGAAGGCCTCTGAGTGTTGGCTGCCACAATCAAAACCACAAGGAGATTCACGGCCACGATGGTCAAGGCCGGGATGACAAATGCTAAGAGGGCTTTGGTGTTGTCCCAGTTCAGCCAGCAGGCCTCAGCTCTCACATAGCCTTTCCCTGGCTCTGTAACTGCAACTGTGGTGACAGCGATGACCAACGGGCACCCATAGCCAACCACAAAGCCAATGGCCATCATGCGCGATTTCAACATCCTCCGGAAAACGACCAATATTCCATAGATGATGAGCAGTGCTTTGAAAAGCATCCAGAAGAACAAAGAGAGGTAGAAAAAGTGGCTGAAAAATGTCATGGCGACGCACAAGTTGTAGTCCTGGGCCTGGCTGCTAAAATTAGAGGCGATGATGAAGCAGACGTTGGCCGTCAGCAGTGACACAGCTATGTTGACAATACACACATGGCGCATGTAGGAAATCTCCGTCACCACCACCCGAGGCCACACCATGGCCTCAATGATCAGGCAAAGGAGCAAGCTGAGGATGGAGATGCTGAGCCCAATGCAAGTGATGTATTCCAGGATCTTCTCTGTAACGGATTTGGGGGACATCAGAATGGAAAATGACATTATGGTCTTGCTAGTGTTACAGCGGCACTGTGCTTTGTTCCTGACATCCTTCATCTTTATGCATGCGTTTTCATCCCACCTCCTTTCCCCAGAATGCCAGCCAACACACCGAGCCCTCTTGGTACCAGATTGGTTGATTTTCTCAAAGGTAAGCAAAATTTGCTTCAAGTTTTCTGGTAAAACCACTGAGAGGACCAGACTGTTCACTGGCCTGGGATGACTCCCATACACAGGGTTTTCTGTTAGAATGGCTCCCAGGGTGGGAAAAGCGATGCTGATGGCTCGGGATGTGTTCTGCAGCTTCCATAGCTCTTGCCTGGGGATTTCTATTACTCCTGAGATACCTTTCGTTACGTTTTTCAGGTTCATGGAGAAATTAAAACGTTTCTCTGAGGTATTATGGTTGACATGAAAGCCTTTGGTCTGAATGAAGAGTTCATCCACGATGTTCTCAGATTCACTGTGGAAGTGGAGTTGCCTGGCGAACAAATTCACTGACTGCAGCAAATCCGAGCTGGCATTTTTGTTGGGGATGAAAGTCCAGTTGGAAATGGCTGCTGTATCCAGAATGTGGTTGGCCACTTCGCTGTAACTCTGCAGTGGAGAAAGGGTGCTTTTATAGTTGCCATTTACATATATCGTACCCTCTCCATTCCCCTGAGATTTGCAAAGATCAGACAATCTAATCTTATTTGACATATTTTCCTCCAAAGCTCCTGTGCATTAGAATCAGTAAGCCTGCACAGAGGGACAGGAATGTTGAGTCCAAAGACCAAATTGCTTTTGGATGGGCAGTATGACTCCTCACCACTGGGCCACCAGAGACCTTCAAAACAGTGGTCTGTAGAATGCGACTTGGCTATGAAATGTTAGGTGATATTTAAAGGAGAGGGGCAGAATAAATTCCACAATGAACTAAACTTGAGAATTCCTACTTAATGTCACCCCTATAGCTAGTTGCCATAAAGTCAGTGTGGAATGTGACAGCTTTGCATATTTAAGAGCAAAATTGTACAGCAAAGGCTTTTCCTCTTTTTTTTAAATATTTTAATGAAAGTTTATCGAGAACTTAGATTTCCATTCATTCACTGTTGCAGATTTTCCTCCCTGCCGCCCTCTGTTTGTTTTTCTCTTTGGGAAAAAAAAAAAGAATTCTTTCATTGTTGGAATATTACGCAGCACTGAAAAACAAAGAACTCATGAAATATTATACAAAATGGGTGACCCTGGAGGACATTATGCTGAATGAAATATCTCAGTCACAAAAGGACAAATAATGCATAATGTCACTATTGTAAAACAGGACTGACATTGGGGTTGGGGGCAAACTAATAAAAGAGAGAATAAATAAGGCATACTACATAGAAACAGATGAGGGAAAGAACTGCTTAAAAGGAATATATGATTACGTAATATTTGTATGATAACAGTCCAGAATAAGAGCTTCATGATAAAGTGGATGGGGGTGGGAGTGGGGAATTGCACAGCATAGGTTTTTCAAACAGCTGTGACCTTTTGGAAATATATTGCCAGGCTTTTCTTAGGAGTCATGTCTGGGTGGATGTTAACTTTAACCTTTCAGTTAGAAGCTAACAGCTTACTCATTTGCACCGACCAGGGTGTGTACCATATGCCTATACCGCACCCTACTCCAGTTAATAAAAGTCCCAAAATCCATTCTACCAAGTCAGCTCCATCCACTTCATAGTGACCTTCCATTCATTTCCAAGGCTGTACACCTTACCATGAGGAGACTGCCTATCTGTCTCCTGTGGAGACACAGGTGGATGTCAACCGCCAGAGAAATGTGGCCTTTTGCATAGCAGCAATATACTATGGGCTTCACATCACCAGAGTGCCCTTAAAATTGACTAGTACATTAAAAGCTCTGACATATCCTGACATAGGGGATCTGCTTAACTTTGCTTACATCAGAATTTCCAAAATCTCCTTGCTATATATAATTCTCTTTTCTACTAGTTTATTTACAAAATTAGAATACATTGTTTTCAAGAACAAATTCTTTCAATTCCCCTCACTATCCACCCATCAAATTGTACAACCCCATGATTAATCTCCCCTCTCCCCCTGCATGTCCACATCCGTCTGCTTCCAACCTCTCCCACTTTTTAATCACCTTTTAAAAATCAGAACTTATGTTGATATTTTTCAGTACAGTTGTGTTCTACAGAACACCATTTTAGAATATTAGCCTAGAATCAGTCTTGTCCATGTCCTTAAATTGGGCTATGAATATGTAATGTTTTTGGATGTGAAAAAAACAAACAAACAAACCAGAAGCCCCTGAGTCTTTGTAAATGTCCAGAAACTGACATAGAAGTAAATTATAAATTGTAGATGTTGCACTTTTACCTCATAGCCCGAAAAGTGCATTTGAAACTGTTAAAATAAAAAGTTTTGAGAGAAAAAACATAGTTTTTTAATGAAATTAGTAAAGAATACCTTCATTTTCTCTTGGGTAACATTATCAGCTAAGTATAGAGAAATATTTTTTAGTAACTCCACTATAAATGCAATATTTCCCGATGTAGCTTCTGACGATTTCACAACATCAATGATGCAGGCATAATCGAGTGGACAGTTCTTTCGGATTCCTTGAGCCACATCACGGATGGGCTCTGGAGCGCGAAGGCTGTAACTGGGAAGAGGTATAGGAGCTGCTACTATTGAAGAAGGTGGTAAGACATTTAAGTCCTGTATTGAAAAAAAAGGTGTCATTCAATAATAAAAATAATAATAAAGTAATACGTGGCATAAATTATTTACCTTCAGTTGTGATTTGGTGACATGCGCAGTGACTCTATGTGACGTAATAAAACTGTCTAGATTTTACTTTTTGAGTTTCAAACTTTATGCATGCAGATCATCAGTTCTTTCTCCATTAGAGGCGTTGGATGGATTTGAACAGCCAATCTTTTGATAAGCAGCCAACCATGTAAGCATCCTGCCACCAGAGTTACTAAGCAAAAGATGGCAGGATAAACCCACCCAAGCTAAGCTGCAGAAGACTAGTATGATCATTTACTTCGCAAAATTAAAAATAAACTAACCCAGTATTATTGAGTCACTTCAAACACAAGGTTGAATTGACTTTAAATTTTGATTAGCAAACACTAAACTTTCTGAAGCTCAAATTACCTTCTAGTTGTTGTTAGGTGTTATCAAGTCGAATACAACTCATAGCAACCTCTGATCAACAGATCTGAGTCCTGTCCCATCCTGTGCCATCTTCACCACCTCTGCTTTCTGTTTTTTGTCAGCCTCCTCAATGAGATGAGTTGATTCAGTGACTGGGATAAGGAGGGTAGATGTGTCAGAGACAATAAGGTTGGCTCAGGATAGAGCAGGGTTTAGGGCTGTTGTACATCTATGACTCACAGGCGACTTGATGGCACTTAACAACAACAAAACAACCACCTCAATTCAAATTCAAGATTATAGTTGAGATCCAGAGTGTTTTCTTAACCATAATCTTTTTGAAAGCAGAATGTCAGGCTTTTCTTTCATGGTGCTACTGAATGGATTTGAACTGTCAACCCTTGGGCTAGTAAACTACCACAAACCACTTATGCCACCAAGGGGCTCTAATGACAGTAACTGCAAATTCTGTGGAGTGCTGCTGTACTCTGACACATATGAGATTATCATGTGATGGAATAGACTTGATGATAATAGCTGTGTGTGTGTGTGTGTGTGTGTGTGTGTGTGAGAGAGAGAGAGAGAGAGAGAGAGAGAGAGAGAGAGAGAGAAACCAAAGAGCTAGAAATACAACCAGTATGTAGACAACAGACTCAGAAGCAAGAGATGCCTCAAAGTGGTCTAGATGCTGAAAGAAGGTCATGGAGCATAAGACAGGAACATAAATAAGCAAGAAGTTCCACTTAAATTCCTGCAGAAATCTGAACACTAAATTTTCCTCTTGGAATTTGGTTTAATAGAAATGATTTTTAACTCAATTATTTGAAGAGACCATTTTCTTCAGAGAGGTGGGAAATTACAAGAATACAATTTGCATCATTTAAAAAAAAAATTTTTTAATAGGAAATTTCCACTGGGGAGTGGTTTAAGAGGCTGGTAAATAACAGAATGCTAAGTAATTTGAGCTTCAAAAAGTTTAGAGTATACTAATGAAAAAAAGAAAAACAAAAACAATTAGAAGAGATTATTTGTTCATTTTCTGATCTGTCTAGCTAGATCTCCATGGATTATGACTTTGGGTAAGGCAAAACAATCACTTACTTCCTTCAGGTCACATTTCAAGTGCTACTCTGGTTGCGAAGAGAACTCTGTGATTAATCAAGCCAAACCCACATGGTGATGTTGAGTCCATTTAACCCATGGTGACTCTCTGTGTTGTAAAATAAAAGTACACTCTATAGTTTCCTTGCCTGTAATCTTTATCGACTAGGACTTCATAGGTGCAATGGTTAAGTGCTCGACTGCCAACTCAAAGGTCATCAGCACAAACCCACCAACCACTCATAGCAACACAGTGGAGCAGTCTGCTTCCAAAAAGAGGTATACAGCCTCAGAGACCCTATGGAGCAGTTCTACTCTGTTCTATCAATAAAAAAGCAACTTGACAGCAACAGGATAGCGTTTGCCTGAGTTGGGTTTTGGGTTTTTGTTTTTTTTTTACTTTTTTTGTAATCTTTATGAAAGCAGATAACCAGGCCTTTCTGCCTAAACACCATTAATTGGTTTCAAACCATCAGCCTTCAGGTTAATAGCCATGTGAAATCTGTTTGTACCACCCAAGGACCCCTATATGACAGAAACTCTAACAGCAATTCCTTTACAAAATTGCTTAATTTTTAAGAAATGAAGAGAGTCATGTGTTTCGACAGAATTTCAGGGTGGGTAAACCTTGCAAAATAGAAGAATGTAAGCTAAAGATATTTTAATTTTAATAAAATTTTGTTTTACTTATTGGATTTATAATTCCTCTGAATCACACTTCTCACTTTTCATTTTATCAATGATTGAAAATATTTTTAAAAATTAATTTAAATCTAGACAGGGATAAAATGGACAATCAACTGATTATATGGTCAAATGTATTAGTTGATTAATAAGCATGAAATTAAACTTTATAAGACATTTACACTTGTTGCTGATCGCCTTCAAGTCAAGCACGACTCATAGTGACTCCATGAACAAAAGGCCTGAAGCTCCTCTACAACCATAAGCATTTATAAAAAGTCATAATTTCCAGAGGCATAGTATAAATTAATTTCCCCTCCCCCATTTTTGTGAAAAACGTTTCTGAGAGAGAAGTAAGGAATTGACTGAGAAAAGTAAGATAATGTGAATTGTTAGAAGAGGGTAGAGTACCTAACATTTAAGTAAGGAAAGTAGGAAAACATGACAAATTTAGCTCTAAATATCTTACTAAGTCTAGGCCTGAGAAGATCATGCTGAACTGAGTACATCAAAAATAATTCTACTACATCTCAGAGCATTGGCTCCTATAACCATTAATGTGCAAATAATCACCTGAAAGAGTGCTTCCAATGAAAGACTTGTACATGTTTCTGTTATTTTTTGCCACTTTTTTTGATTACATGTAAATCCTATTTCTCCGTGAAAGTTTGTGGCACAAGACTGGTTGCAATAAGAAGTGGTACAAGCTCCTTGACATTTCTCTGAGAAGAGAGAGAGAGAGAGAGGCTTAATTAGCATTTCATCCCCTGTCAAGGGCATTGAGAGGGCCCTTGTACTACTTCCCAGAAAAGGTGACAGTGAATAGGATTCTCAGTAACAAATAAGAACTGCCCAGGGGACCTAGTGGTAAAAAGCTGGGCTGCAATCCCAAAGGTATGCGGTTCAAATTCACCAACTGCTCTACAGGAGAAGGATGGGTAGTCTTTTCTCACATGATTTACTGCCTCTGAAAACCCACTGGAAGGTCAGCTGTTAGTTGGTTCTGATTCAGTGGCACACAATAACAACAGCAGCAGATCAGGAAGCTGATACCCAGACAGAATGAACAGTATACTTGGAAAGGGATAGGAACAATCCAAGTTCCTGGGAAAAGCTGGTGTAGAACCTATAAAGAGAATATCAAGTGATAAAAGTGGGGTGGAAAGCAGGAGTGAAGCCATGAAGAGCCTTGAATGCTGTGTTAATAGAAGGACACCATGAAGCATAATTTGCTTCATGTTTTTAAAGATCAAATTGACAATCAATAATTTAGAGAGAAGGTGGTAAAGTTTTTTGTGGAGGATCAATAAAATTATCTGCTAAAGCATAGGAATCCCCGTTAATTTAAATTTCATTTCAAATAAACATTTAAACAAATAATTTTTGGTATATATACACAAAGGGTATCCTTGTAATATTTTTCTCTAAAATCTAAATTTAATTAGAAATCCTATAGTTTTTATTTGTTGAATTTGGCAGTTCCAGCAGACATTGTTTTCTGCTTTTTATACTACATAGTCTCTGTCACAGAGAATTCTGGTGACCTAGTGGGTAAGGAGTTGTGCTGCCAACCCAAAGGGAGGCAGTTCAAATCCACAAGCTGCTCTGCATGAGCAAAATAAGCAATCTCCTCCCACACAATTTCCAACATCTGAAAACCTCTGGAGGGTCAGCTGTGGGTCAATGGCACTGAATTGTTGTTTGGTGAGTCTTTATCAAAATTACGCAGCTCTTCCAATAGGGCATGGAAACAGCCACAGACACGTAAATGCGGAGAAGTGAATATGCTCTAAGAAAATGTTATTAAAACTGTCAAGATTTTTTAAAGTTTCCTTATAAAACCAAATTTTTATTATAAAAAAACCAAAGACAATATGTGAATGAATGGGAGGAGTTGTGTTCCAATAAAATTTTATTGGTAAAATTTGGCCCATGAGATATAACAAATAGACTTGAGTCAGAAAGTCCAAAAATGAGACTATTGAGATTATTCCCAGAAATTCCTTAGGAAATTGCAATGGAATGGAAAGCAGTAGATAATATTGAAAGTTATTAAAGTACAAAACTCAATATGATAAGGTAATCAATTATCTGGTTGTCAATTGTCAGAATGCCCATATTTCAGACTTGGACAAGTCTGTATATGATACCATTGATTGAGAAAAAGAACTGGGTTTGTCTTATTCTTTGACATCCACCAAGTATATTTAATTTCACAAGCGATTTCATTTGAATGATTTTTAATTTCTTCATTTATATAATTTGAGGGATTCTATAGCATTGTTACAAATAAAAAGTGGACAGTATCGTACTTAGTGTCATTACAAATGATTAACAAATCCTAGTACTGAATGTACCATGGACTGCCAGGAAAACAGATTCATCTTGGAGAGGATTAAACCAAGCTACTCCTTGGAGGCAAGGATTCTGGGGCTTCGTCTGACATACTTTGGACATGTTGCCAGGAGGGACGGGTCCTTGGAGAGGGACATCATGCTTGGGAGGGTGGAGGGACGGCGCAGGAGGGGAAGACCCTCTATGAGATGGACCGATTCAGTGACTGGGGTAATCGGGATGGGTGTGTCAGAGGCAGTGCGGTTGGTGCAGGATAGAGCAGGGTTTAGGGCTGTTGTTCATAGGGTTGCTATGAGTCGGAAATGACTCAACGGCACATAACAACAACAACAACAGTTACCTTTCTTGATACTGTCCATTCTCAATTCTATGTATATAAACAAAGAGATACATAATTGGCCATGACAGTACAGCATCTAATTAGCCTGACTTTTGGGTATTAGCCACATAATTTTGCTTCCTTAGGACCAAGGATTATCTCCACAGTTTAGCTCTCATCAAGAGTAACTAGTCTCATCAGCAAGATACCCACCCATCTTACATCAATTCAATAGCCTCTGTACCAGAGTACTAGCTGCACGCCACTTCTCTCAAATAACCTGATTTAAAGAAAGATTGAACTGGGTCCTCTTCTCTCTTTTGCTTATCTGTACAAACAGATTTCTTGTTTGGACTTAAAAAGGGATACTTATCTACTATTCTAGATAGAACACATGTGAATATTTGCTGATTCATTTCACAGATGATGATAATACTTGTTAGAAAATCCACCAATTATGCTAAATTTTGAGAATGTATTAAAGACTGCTGTTTAGTTTAAAGCCTGTGGTCACACTCATAGGACAGCCTTGCAACACTAATGACCTTCAATTAGTCTGCCCTGTAGTCAGAATGAATGGAGATGATCCTGTGGTCACATACCTCGTGTCTTTCCAACATTGAGTTTTCCTTCAGGGCCTTGATGTTTATATCTATTCTGAAAAACACAAATTTCAAAGCGTTTGCTTTACTGTGGCATTATCCTTTCTTCTTACAATTTAGAGCTTCTAAGTGGATGGATAGGGAAAAAATATGCTCAGGACTGGAAAGAAAACAGTAGAAGATCTAGGTGCTAATGTTGGATGAACTTTCTGAGGGAAGTATAAGTATGAATGCAAACAGAAAATAATCTGCCTCTACTGAGGGCTAGAGCCACAGAACTTGTCACTGGGCATTGAGTTTCAGGTTAGTGGATTGGTTACATAATTTGGATGTATAAACATCCAAGGAGGACAAAGAAGATGACAATTCTATCACTAAGCTGTTTTCTGCCTTTGTTCAGCAATGAAATTAAATTAATTTGATCTACCAAATACCATATGCCCTTTAAAAATGAAAAAAGCAAACTCAGTGCCATCAAATCAATTTCATTTGATAGGACAGAGTAGAACCATCCCATTGGGTTTCTGAGTCTATAAATCTTAACAGGATCAGACTATCCATCTTTCTCCTTCAGGGTGGCTAGTAAGTTTTTGAACCACCAATCTTTTGGGTAGTAGCTCAACATTTAACCCACTGTGCCATCAGAACTTCTTCACATGTCCCAAGAGAGGTGCATATGAGCAGATACTAGAAGTAATCATTGTTACTGATGTTATTGTTGTTGTTGTGTGCCATCAAGTCAAGTACAACCCACAGTGGCCCTATGAACAGATCTGAACCCTGTCCTACCATGTGCCATCTTCTGAATCTCTGACACATTCAAGCCCATTGCTGCAGTGACTGTGTCAACCCACCTAATTGAGGGTCTTCATCTCCTTTGCTGTCCCTCCACTTTCCCAAGCATGATGTCCCACTCCAAGGAATTACCTCTCCTAACAACTTGCCCAAAGTATGTAAGACAAACCATTATATTTCAATAATAGTTTTCAAATTTCTTATCACTGAAAATTATTATAAATATTACCAAAAGAAACTCATGTTATAAATAAAGACATTAAAATCCACAGAAGTAAAGCCATTTGTGTAGTGAGTGAAAAGCAAAGTTAAGATTTGATTCTAAATTGCCCAACCCTTACACTAGCACTTCCTCCTCTCACCAACTGATGGTCTACATTCTCTGTAGCTTGTAAAGGAATCATTCTACCCTTTGCGTTTGAGCAAATTCCTGCCACTTCTCTACATTCTTTGTTTCCTTCTTTCTGTTCTTGTTTTTATGTGCCATCTAGTCTTCTATGACTCATAGTAACCCTATGTACAATATCTTTGAACCCTGCCCTATCCTGAGCCAGTTTCATTGTCTCTGGCACACCCAATCCACCCCCCACCCCCATTATTCTAGCCACTGTTTCAATCCAGCTCATCCGGGGTCTTCCTCTCCTGTGCTGTCCTTCCACCTTTCCAAACATGATGTCCCTGTCCAAGGACTGGTTCCGCCTGGCCACATGCCCAAAATTTGTGAAATAAAGCTTCAAAATCCTTGTTTCCAGGAAGCAGCTTGGTTTCACACTCTCCAAGACAGACCTATTGGTTTTTGTGGTGGTCTATGGTATGTTCAAGACTCTTCTCCAGCACCACAACTCGAAGGCATCAATTCTTCTTCTATTTTCTTTAGCCATTGTCCTGCTCTCTGATGCATAGCAAACAATTGCCAAGACCATGGCCTGGAAAAGGCACATCTTGATCTCCAAACTGACCTCGTTGCTCCTCAGTACTCTGGAGAGGTCCCTGACAGCAGACTTTCGCAGTGCAACTCATCTTTTGATTACCTGACTGCTGGTACCAAGAGTGTTGATTGCGGAAACAAGTAAGCTGAAGTTGTTAAAGATCTCAATCTCTTCTCCATCTCTCATGAAGCTGCCAATGGACCCAGTTATGAGAATCTTTGTTTTCTTGATGTCGAGCTTCAATCCATATTAAAGACTAGAGTCCTTGGCCTCCTTCAGCAAAGCCTCATGTCCTCTTCTGTTCTAGAAAGTGAGGCCATGGCATCTATGTAATGCAGGTTTTTTATAATCCTTCTTCCAAGCCCGATAATACATTCCTCCTCATAAAGTCCAGTATCCCAAATGATCTGTTCTGCATATGAATTGAAAAGGTTTGGAGATATGATGCATTCCTGATGCACATCTTTCCTGATCCTGAACCATGCAGTATTTTCCTACTCTGTCTGACTACTGCTTCCTGATCCAAGTATAAATTTTGCATGAACACAATCAAATGTTCTGGAATTCCAGTTCTTCTCAAGATTAGCCACCATTTAGGAAGCTAATAATATAATAGCAAAAATAAATTATAGTCATTTAAAAAATTCTTTATCGTGTCATGTTATATTTATCATAAATGTAGCCTTCTAGGGAAGCTATAATGTTCCTCTGGGGACTGTATAGGAATGGAGCACACTTACTTTTGAGTGCATCTTAGGTCTGTTGTAGGAACATTCTGTGACCAGAAATAATGTTAACCAACAAATCATCATTGCCTGGGACTTCATTTTCATATATTAAGATCTTCACCTGCAACAGAAAAGAAAAATAACCCAGCTGAATAAAATAACTCTCTACCATGCTACTTGGCTAAACCACCATTTAGTGTACTGTCTAGGGCACTCTAGCAATACAACTAAGCAATGCATCTCAGAAACTCGCTCATTGCTGTCAAGTTGGATCCAACTAATAGCTGGCCCTCCACGAGCTTAAGAGTCTGTAAATTGCAAGGTAGAAATTTGTCCATCTTTCTCCTCAGAGCCAGTGGTGGGTTTGAACCACCTTAGAGGCACAGACTTTGAATTAGCCGCACAGCTCCCTGAGGCCTAAGCCACCAGAGCTCCCTTCATACCTCAGAAATACAATGACTCTTTTCAACTCTACTGCACAGGAGTTCTTGAGTAGCACAAATGTTTACATGCTGAACTACAGTACTAACTACAGTACTAAAAGGTTAGTGGTTCAGACCTGCTCAAAGTCACCCCAGAAGACAAGACTATTTATCTTCCTAAAGTCACTATAGAACAGTTCTACTCTGCACCCATGTGGTCACCATCAGTCAAAATCTACTCAACTTCATAGCAACAAGCAAGCAAAATAAAATTTAGAAAAGGATAGACATTGCTCTGGGCATTGACCTTCCTACAAATAAAAGAAAGCAAAGATGTTCTGTTCACCAAAGTATTCTTCTTTTTTTACTCTGTGTAATTGATTAATAAACATTTATCAATGAAGTCTTTTTGTAATAGCTCATTCAATCCTTTCATATTTTTATTATCAATACTATTGTTATCCTCATCTTTCAGTGGAAAAACCAAAATACAAACAATTGAATGACCATGAGCCTACTCACCTAAAAAGTGGTAGAGCCAGGAATTTAAACAGGACCAAAAGGTCCAACTTAATTGCTATTTTTTTTTAACTTCCATAAGGAGGGGCTCTGGCTAGAGCCCCTCTGGTTGCCTGTACCGTCCCTTTTGTGCAGGTTGGGTTGCTGTGTACTGTCTAGTTGGAACCAACTCATAGGTAACCCTCTAGTGTGTTTTCAGAAGCAGTAAATCACAAGGAAGGAGATTTCTCATCCTTCTGAGAGAGCAGCTAAAATGAGCAAGTGGGGAATAAAAGAATACCAAAAGGAGGTGCTAGGACCAAAGATGCATTCATACATCTGACTATGGAGACAGCACTTGCTTATTCCCTTCAGTTTCTCTTCTCTCCTTCCCATTCCCTCCACCCGAGGCCCTGAACACAGAGGCTCCAACAGTCAAAGTCAGTAGAAGGAGCGCAACTCTAGCTACGAATGGGCCAAACAATGAATTCTTTGTCTGAAGGTTGCCTCCTGCCAATTCCATGTTAATGTAGGATAAACGTCTACTGGGCTACTAGAGTCTTGATATGATTCAACCTCTACAGGTTATTTTGTTCATTTTTTGCACTGGTATGTAGTTTTTATATCTAAGCAGTTTCACTATACAGGGCCTGAATGATAGTTGAAAAAAAAAGATCTCATTAAAACTCATTGCTGTCTTTCTTCACCATCGCAAGAACATGGAAACAGCCCAAATGTCCAAGCACAGCTGAATAGATTGATGAATTCTGGTACATTCACACAATGGAATACTATCTATCACCCAGGAGCAAAGGAGAGAGACAGAGAGAGGGAGAGGGAGAAAGAGGGAGAGGGAGAAGGAGAGAGAGGGAAAGAGAGAAGAGGGAGAGGGAGAGGGAAAGGGAAAGGGAGAGAGAGAAGGAGAGAGAGGGAAAGAGAGAAGAGAGAGAGGGAGAGGGAGAAGAAGGAGGAGGAGGACGAGGAGAAAAAGAAGGAGGAGGAGGAGGAAGAGGAAGAAAGAAGGAAGGAAGGAAGGAAAATATTATATAACTTGAGAGAGACTGGAGAGCATTATGTGAGAGAACTAACTGAGTCTCATAAGGACAAATACTGCATAAGACCATTATTGCAATAATAGAATTATAACTAGTAAAACTAGTATAGGGACCCAAGGAGGGAAGGAGTTCAAGCATATGGGTGAGGTTGGGTAGGGGCAAAATCACAGTGTGGTGGATGGAGGGAGCGGGTGAAGTAAATGGGAAGGATCCAGCAGGGACCTGAAAAGATAGAGTAATTATGGGCAAAGTTCAATGGTGAGTAATTTTACAAAATATAATGAGTGGAAGAGACGAGAGAGTAACTAACTCTGAGAAGAATGGGAATCTCAGAACACTTCACGGTGCTATGTGAAACCTATACTTGGACCAAGAAGCAGTCATCAGAACAGAGCAAAGGGACACTGACTGCAAGGTTCAAAACTGGGAAGAGTGTACACCAGGGATGTGTCCTTTCTCCATACCTTTTCAATCAATATGCAGAACAGAGTCTGGGCTCTATGAGGAGAAATGTGGAATCAGGATTGGAAGTAGACTTATCAACAAACTGCCTTATGCAGATGACACAATCCTGCTTGCTGAAATTGAGGAGAGCCTGAAGTGCTTGCTGCAGAAGGTCAAGGACTACAGCTTTCATTATGGATTGAAGCTCAATACCAAGAAAACAAGGATTCTCACCATTGGGCTGATTGGCAGCATCATAATAAATGGTGAAGAGATTGAGATTGTAAACAGCTTTAGTTTGCTTGGCTCCAAAGTCAACACTCTTGGCACAAGCAGCCAGGAAATTAAAAGACATATTGCATATTATGACCATCTCAATAATCATATTTTACATGTACAATGGTAACAATTCAGCCTCCTTGTTGGCAGTCTTGACCTATGAAATGATTTTCCTAAAAGTGCTCGTGCATCAAAGTATGGATTTTAATCAGCAAGAGCCATGTTTTTTCCTTAACTATTTGGCCCTTTTTAAATCTATTTCCTCAACTAGCTTATAAAATATACATAATCAGTCATGCCACCAGCCAAGGGAAAGTCTGCTGTCAGAGACCTCTCCAAAGTCAGTACTTTGAGTCAGTACAGAGCAATGATGTCAGTCTGGAGACTAAGGTATGCCTGATATAGGCCATGATCTTTGCAATCACTTGCTATGAGTCAGAGAGCTGGACAATGACAACAGATGATAGAAGGAGAATTGATGCCTGTCAGATGTGGTGTTGGAGAAGAGCATTGAATATACCATGGACTGCTAAGAGAGTGAACACGTTTGACCTAGAGAGGGTGAAACCAGACTTCTCCTTGGAGGTAAGGATTCTGAAGCTTCTTCTGACATACTTTGGACACGTTGCAAGGTGTCTTTGGAGAAAGACGTCATGCTTGGGAAGGTGGAGGGATAGCACAGGAGAGGAAGACCCTCAATGAGATGGATTGATTCAGTGACTGGGGTAATGGGGATAGATGTGTTGGAGACAGTGAGATTAGCACAGGATAGAGCAGGGTTTAGGTCTGTAGTACATAGGGTCTCTATGAGGCGCAGACGAGTCGACAGCACATCACAACAATAAGGAAAATGATTGTATGAAACACAGAATGAGTGAAGAATAGTGTGAAATACAATGTATATGAACTTTTTTAGCAAACCAATATTTTTTTAAAGAAACAAACAAATAAACCCAATCAAACAACTCATTGCTGTCAAGTAACCCTCCACCACCTTTCAGGTTCATAGACAGAACAATGACATGATCAGTAATACCCATAAGAAACATGGTTCTCCAGATAGTTGGCCATATGAGACCATAAGGACAGCATTTGCCTGAAAGCATGGTTAAGCAACAGAGAGGGGCAGGAAAGAAGAGTAAACAGAAGTAAGGAAAACCTGAGAGGAAACATAGCATTGAAGGAATTGCAACCACTTGTTTTGTCAGAAAACAAAGTATGTATATCTTGTTGAAATAGAAAAAACAAAACAAAACCCTGCTTTGTAAACTTTCTTCCAAACCACACCCAAAAATAAATATTAAAAAGGTATTTACGATGCTTGATGTTCATCAACATATCATGAACATCGCAATCATCATATTTTACATGCACACTGATAACAATTCAGCCTCCTTGTTGACAGTCTTGACCTATGAAATTATTTTTCCGAAAAGTGCTCGTGCAGCAAAGTAAAAATATCATGGATTTTAATCAGCAAGAGTCATGTTTTTTCCTTAACTATTTGGCCCTTTTAAAATCTACTTCCTCAACTAGTTTATAAAATATAGATAATCAGTCATGCCACCAGCCAACATTTGTCAAGTGCTTCCTTTTTGCTAGGAATTGTTCCAGATACTGAGGAAACAAAAATAAAATATTCAGTCCTTTCAATAAAGGATGTCCTGTTGGAATGCAGACAAGTAAAACCAAAAGGAGAGAGAGATCTCCTGTCCTTTGCACCTAATAAACAAGACAGTAGTGAAAATTGGGGAATAATCACCAACTGGCAGAACCATGAAAGATGGAGAAGAAATTGTTAACAGTTACAGCTTGCTCTGCTCCATAATCAACACTCTTGGCACCAGTAGTCAGAAAATCAAAAGACGAATTGCACTGGGAAAATCTGCTGTCAGGGACATCTCCAGAGTACTGAGAAGTAACGATGTCAGTCTAGAGACTAAGGTGTACCTAGTCCAGGCCATGTTCTTCACAATTACATCAGAGAGCTGGATAATGACTAAGGATGACAGAAGAATTGAGGCCTTTGAACTGTGGTGCTGGAGAAGAGTCTTGAACATACCATGGACCGTCGAGAAAACAAATAGGTCTGTCTTGGAGTAGGTGAAACCAAGTTTCTCCTTGGGGACTGGAATTTTGAAGCTCTATTCTCACATACTTTGGGCACATGACCAGGAGGGACCAACCCTTGGAGAAGGACATCATGTCTGGAAGAAGGAGTTACAGAGCAGGAGAGAGAGATCCCCGGATGAGATGGATTGATACAGTAACTGGGGCAATGGGGGTAGGTGGGTCGGAGTCAGTGAGACTGGCTCAGGGAAGGGCAGGCTTCAGAGCTTGTACATAGGGTTGCTAAGAGTCACTGGCAACTGGATGCCATATAACAACAACAATGAGTCTCAGGAGA